ATGGGTCATCTCTTTTGGGGTAGGCTCAGGGCGAGGGTCAATGGCCATGTGTTGCACCTGCACCTGCCTTCTCAAGCGCATGCTCCACTTTGAAGGGCAAGGGAGACATTCATGTATGTGCCTTGCACCGTGCTAGGTAGTCTGCACACATTGTCTGTGCACCCTCGGTCCTGGGAAGGTGACAGGATTAAAAGGTCACACATCTCCCAAATACCTTGAACTCCTTCTCTTGCTCTTGACTTCCATATGCATGTGTCCTATTCTTCTGAGCAATTAATACTCCAAGGAGTGTTTTGAGGAGGGAGCCATCACCTTTGGTTGGGGGAGGTCTGGAAATATGTAAGAACAAGGTGAGCTCTGGGTTGGGTCTTGCACGAGGAGGGAATCCCACACAGGTAGGGGAAGGGCAGTGTCAAAGTTCATGGTGAAGATGCGGGAGGCTTGTCTGACATGCACAGGGCCACACAAGGTTCTTGTAGTTCAAGGCCACATCAAGGCCTTGAACGGTGATGTTGCCATGGGAGGAGGGTAGAGAACAAATGTGACGAGCACTGACTGCCAGGAAAAGGGACGACATTGGTCCTGTGGGAAACAGCAGTTTTCAGCAGGTACCAGAGGAGGACACAAGGATGGAAAGCTGTGAGGGAAGCACTGGGAAATGTGAAGTCCCTCTGGGAAGCAGCATAAGAGTGACAGTGAGCGCACCTCCAGAAGCTATTGGGCAGGACCTGGGTGGTGTCCCTCATCCGCTGGTTAACGTAGAGCAAGCAAGTTAAACCCTAGGGACCCCAGTCTCTTCAGGTGAGGTCTAGACGTACAGACTACTTAAGAAGAACAAATAGGTACTGTAAACAAGAGCCGAGTCTCTTTCCTGGCACTCCCCAAACATCAATTCCCTTCTGGTCCCTGAACACTGCAAGCATTCCCTGCCCTGTGATTTCCCCAACAGCTCTTCCTCCTGATCTTCACATCAGTGTCATTCTGGGTTCATTTCAAAATTCTCTTCCCAGGTGAGAGTTCCCTTTCCTGTCCCCATTCCATCAGGTGCTCTCCGTGCCACTAACTGTTCACGTCACTAACTCAGCCCCTAGAGCAGCACCTAACACACGAAGGTGCTTAACAGATAGTTGTTGCATGAATGGTGGAATGAATGAATGAGTCACTTATCCAGCTCTGGGAAGGGCATAAACTTGGCCCACAGACAACTTCTAGTTTACATGGGATCTTGAAAGTCATAGGGTTTAACCCTTTTAAATACAGAGAATCCTCTTGACAGTCTGATGGTACCGAGCATATGTTCATGCAACTTCCCTACTAAATGGGCCAACCTACACTTGACCGTCTACACTGAGAGGGAGCTTATTAGTTCCCGAGGTGGCCTTTCTCATCTTCGAACCTTTCATTTATGGGGAAAGAAGGAAAAATACGTTTGAGTAGAACCAGGAGTCTGCTAATCCTGGACCAAGCTGCAAACCTTGGGGCTTACATATCCCACTCTGCCACACGATGCTGAGGCGCCTTAACTTTCTAGGACCTAGGGCCCCTCTGCAACCCAGAGCTGGAGAAATGGGCTTCTTAGTGCTTGGGCCAAGAGGCCTGCCAGTCCCCCAACTGGGGAATGTAACACCTGGCTCCTGACAATGTTAAGAACCTGGTGGAACATTCCATTTCAGTTAGGTGATGACTGCATCCTCATACTTAATAGAGCAATCATCAGCCTGGGAGGGCATCTTGTTAATCCGCTTTGGGCCATTATCCTGGGACCTAATAGCTAATTAACTGGCAAACCCTTCCAGAAGTTAGGTGCTTTCTACAAAGATGGGCTTGAGCGTCCTTCTGAGCCCTCGAGTGTGGCCTCCTGACACAACTGTCATTGGGCCGGAGCTGACCCTATACTTAACACTTGAGGCCCTTGGTGGGGGCGTCGCCTGCCAAGTGCTTTTATGTCTTTGTCTCTTGTGCTGACTTAGAACATCAGTGACCATGAACGCCAAAAATCTAATCGGGTCCCGCCACGCCTTACCGCCAGGTGCCCATGTAACCAGGAGTCCACGCCTCTCCGGGCTCCCTCCCTAATGGCATCTTTCTTATATTCCCTTGGGGTTTTGACAGTGTGTCTCTTTCCTCCACTAGATCAGAAATTCCTTGAGGGCAGGGAGGGATGGAGCCCCACTCATGCCGCATCTGATTATTCCCTCCCTGTTCATGTTCCCAGGACAGGTTGGACACCTAAGAATTTTGCAATCGCCGTAAGAGTTTGTTAAACTGAGCAGCATTTGCAATTCGTAGAGAACATAGCTCAGGTTGCCTTATTCAACGCTCCCATACCTCTGTGGGACAGCTGTAACTCAGTGGTTCTCAGCCAGGGGCACTTTTGCTCCCTAGGGCACATCTGATGACGCCTGCCTAGGACATTTTGGTGGTCACGACTTGGCAGAGGTCAGTGCTACAGGCATCAGGTAAGTAGGGGCTGGATGCTATTGAATATCCTATAGGGCACAACACAGCTCCCCCTCACTCTGCCCCCGGCCCCCGCCCTCCACCACTAACACACACAGCAGAGAACAATCTGTCCGGAATATCCACAGGGCCAAGGTCGAGAATCCGCTGGGAAACTAGAAACAGAGGTCCAAAGTCAGGGTCACTTGCAGACACTTGCACATAGGCACTTGGCTGCCCTGGCTTCACCCCCGCTCTTGCTGATGGTGGCCTAGGCCTCCCACCTCCACACCTCACTGCTTAAGCCACAGGCTCAGCTCCCGTGAGGCAGAGTTGGTGGTTTTAGGAACATTTTCTCAATCTCCCTCTGGCAGTTACCTCCCAAAGTGAGAAGGAGATAAAGAAACACCAGAGCCAGGGGAAGCTGACAGCACCTTCCCCCCTCCCTGCCATCCCCCCCCCATTCACTTACCCACTAAAAACAGGCAGAGTAGATACTGCAATCCTGGCCACCAGGGGTTCCAAATTCTGAGCTTCTCCTTCTGCAGCAGCTTCTTCTGTTCGTGGACTGTTCTCTAATGGAGACCCCTCTGTGGTCCCCTGTCTGTCTGTTGGCTGCCTCTGCCATCAGACTTGGAGCTTTCTGGACCCCTAAAGCCTGTGCCAAGCCACAAGTTCTTCCTACTTCTCTGGCCCTGGCTTGTCCCAGGCCTGGTCTCAGCTAATGGCACATCCACAGCCAGGCCACCCCCCTGCCACTGGCCACTTGTGGGAAGCAGCCCCCCTCCTAAACCTCTTTCACTCCTCCCTGTGAATATGGGGTGGGGGGGACTCCACTCTGGCGTATTTCTACCCCTCTGTTCTTCCCCATCTGAATCTTTCTTAGCATTTCCTTTGTGCCTTCCTGGGCTGTTCTGCAGACAGTAGGTATTTTCACAAGTTGCCTAAGGAAGCAACTATCTAGGACTGAGTTCCTTTCAAGTTCAGACGAGGCCCTGATGTTTTTGATACATTTGACAAGTGCACTGAGCGAAGTTTCTAAATGACTGTCCCCGGGTGACTGTGTCGATCCTGCTGGGCTGGGGCAGTGCGTCACCAGCCCTGGGCACTGGTCCTGGCTCTGCGTTGGGACCGGCTGTGGGATTCGGGGAAAGTCACTGGACCCTCTGTTCTGTCGTCTCTGTGAAGTGGAGGGCCAGCCGGGGCTCTCGGAGGGTCATGCCAGCCCCGGCAGGTAATTCACCAGCAGCCCCGCCACCAACAAGCCCTTAGCCCCCATGTGCCTGAGCTTTCCCACACACTATGGAAAGACACATATATTATGAATGGGGACACACATACTATGAATGGGGAGCTATATATTATTATTTTTTAATGTTAAACCCAACAGGAAGTTGAAATAGTACAAGGCACATATGCCCTTCACCTGGATTCAGCAAATGTTAACATTTTGCCATATTTGCTTTCTGCCTCTCTCGTTGTCTTTTATTTTTTTAAGATTTTATTTATTTATTTGACAGATAGAGAGAGTACAAGCAGGGGGAGCAGCAGGGAGAGGGAGAATCAGGCTCCCACTGAGCAAGGAGCCCGATGTGGGACTCAATCCCAGGACCCCAGGATCATGACCTGAGCCGAAGCCAGATGCTTAACCGACTGAGCCACCTAGGCGCCCTCATTGTCTTTTTCTTGATTTATATTTATTTACATTTCTATTTTATAGTTCTTTTTCTTTTAGCGAACCATTTGAAAGTTGCAGACATCATGACATTTGACCTCCAAATACACCAGCATGTATCTCCTTGAGAACCAGTGCATTTTCCCACATAACTGCAGTGTCATTATCATGCTCCAAAAGTTAACATTGACACATTATCTACAACGTGGTATCTATGTGAATACCCGCCCCCACCTCCATCCCAAGAATGTTCTTTCTAAGTCTTTTCCCTCAGTCCAGGAGCCAGCCAAGCATCACACACTGCACCCAGTCGCCATGTTTCCATAGTCAATTTTACTCTAGAACTTGTGGGGAAGCTGACTACATTTTATATCCTTCCTAGTTTCTTCTGGCTGTAGCACAGCAGAGGGGTTGCCCGTCTTGCCCCAGAAGGCTGGTGGGCAGCTTCCTTCTGTAGCAGGTTGGATGCCCTATTTCCCACCTCTGTTAATTAAACACTGTCTGTGGCAGAGCCCAGGCAGAAGCTCTGCCCCACAGCCCCTTCGCAGTGACATAAAAAAGCAGTCATAACCAGGAAACTGAGAAAAGACAAGCTGCCAGCCTGAGCCCCAGCCTCCTTGGACCCAGTGAACTCTGGGGATGTGTGAGAGCAGTCTCTCAGCCTCCCCTGCCTTTAAACTAGAGAAAAAGGTCCCAGCCACTGAAAGCCTGAGCATGGCCCAGGCAGTTAGAATCAAGTTGCACATATTCCCAAGCGCTTTGTAAAAAAAAAAAAAAAAAAAAATTAATAATGCCACGGTCTTCCCTATCCTTACAGGGAGAAGCCTGCTCAGAGTGGTTACTAAAAACAGGAACCTGCCCTTCTGCAAGTCCCGCGCGCCTTCCTCCTTTCTAGCAGAGGAAGTGTGTGGCCGGTTTAGCAACTGCTGTTCTTCTTGATAGCCTGGGTCTCTATGTCCGCGGAGGCCTGGCCACCTGCTCACTGTGCCGAAGCAGCAGCAGCTGATGGAGAGACGGTGACGGCGCTCCTGGCAGGCCCGCGGCAGCTACTCCCAGGGGAGACCATGCCCAGCTTTTGAAGGTATCAGAGGGGACATGGCAGGGGCTGGGCAGGGAGAAACCTCAGACTCCTAGACCCACAACTGGCAGAGCATTGACTTTCTGGGGATAGGAAAGCACTCTGTGAGAGATGAGGCCGGGAAACATCTTGAGTGAGGCTGACAGCTACCCCAGTGCCCGGCACATGGTAGCTGCTCAGTGAATATTTGATGCAGCATTACATATGGCAAGACGGGCTGGGGATCTTGGACCAGGGACGCTCCTGCCAGAGAAGCTTTTCTAGTTAAGGAGCGAGAGCCTGGCACATAGCAGGCTTTGTACGAAGGGCAACTCCTGCTTGCTCTCAGGCTTCCTAGCTCTATGCCCTCGGGCAAGACATTTAAACCTCTCCAGGCCTTCATTTTCTCCCCTGTAGAGTGGGAATAAAGGTACACAGTTCAATAGGTACTGGGCAGATGAAATGAGCTAACATATGCAAAGTACCCAGTCCAGTTTCAAACACATAGTAGTTGTTCAATAAATGCTGTCCGCAGGGAGTCATGGCATCTAAAAGGAGCAAGGAGCCCAGGTAGGCTGACCAATCACAATAGTGCTTCCAGGAGTTCGGGTGTGTGGATCTTTGGGAAGATGCCAGTGATAACCCATAGTAATAAGCAACAACAAGCAGAGGAGGAGGTATGTGTATGGTGGCAGGGGTAGGATTAAAGGAAAGGCAAATAGGTGAGGTATATAAATTCTGAAAATATAGAAGGTTAGAATTAGAAGAGATTTTGCAGAGCTAGAATTCCCTAAGGAAGGTGGCATACTCCACATTCTTTTAGGTGCCAACACATCCAGAGAGGCTAATGCCAGGAAAATGACCTGGGCTTTGGCCTCAGAGTGTCCTAAATTGGGGCCATGCATGTATGTGCAAAGGGATGGTGTCTGCCATGCTGAGTGGCTGGGGACAGGCACTCCATGAAGAGTTATTCTCCTGCAGTACTCAGAACAATCCCAGAAGATTATGATTATTATGTGCTTTTGTCAAAGGAGAAAATGAGGCTCAGAGAGGTTGAGTAATTTGGGTAAAGTCACCACAGCTGGTGAGAGGCCCTAAGGGCTCTGAGGGCTGAGGTGGGGGAGGGGAGAGTCTCAGCTACAGCAAGTGCATGAAGGGCAAAAGTGTATACTAAAGCAGTGCTCTTTATTTTCAGAGAAATATGTCCCATAGTCTGCACATTGTCATTCTGTGGTTTGCTAGGAGACCCTGAGCCACAAACCTATAAATCTGGGGAGGTAAGCCCTAATCAAAGTTCTGGCAAAATCTTTTGCAAATGATTTTCTCCCGTTAGAAGAATGTTATTCAAGAGTGTTTAATGTGTCTTGAAAAGTATAAGAAAAATATTAAAAACCTATGACATAGACCGAAATCTATTTAGACTTCTGTGTCTTAAACAGATCTTAGAGTTAGGGCAGCAAGACAGCTTCATGGAAAATCACTAATGTCATCAGCTATACCTGCGTCAACATTCTGGGTCAGCCACCAAGGAGCTATGTGACTCTGAACATGCCCCTTTGCCTCTCTGAGTCTTATTTGCCTCCTCATAAAAAGAAGAACGTGTATGTTTGTAAGAAGTTTAAATTAACTACCATATATAGGAGATGCTGAATCCTCAGCAGCAGCTGGTTGATAGCATTCCTAACCCAGACAAGTTGAGGACATCAGGTTCCCGGGGCATCCCTAGGTAACAGATGGGTAACGGGCAGCGTTACACACAGCAAACTGAATCATACAGCTGTGGAGCTGGACGCTCCCTGATTTTTCTGAATGCTTATTTCTGCTTGTTTCTCCATGTGATGTAACTGTAACAGACACGGGTAGGTTTGGATTGCAGCAAATGGAAATCATTTTCCTAAAACAGAAAAAAAAAAAAATTCCCCTACTCTTGAGTTTTGGGAGCTGGCAATATCTTTCCAAGGGGAGGGTGTCTTTTTAAAGACTTAGTAAGTCTCCATTGTGGTAAACCCTAGTCAGCTTCGTGTACTCATAGATGGTGCTGGGTTTTTTTTCAGTTTTCATTTGACATTCAGCAAGAATTTATTTCCCCCAGCTCTGACAGAGGCTAGAACTTAAAATTCTCATTCAGGCTTTCCAGCATGTCAGGCCAGACCATTTGGTTCTTGTCAGCACGCTGAGCGAGGGACCTGTGAGTACATCTATCCATTCCTCCATCCCTCCCTTTCCTTAATAAATATGCATTGAGGCCATACCATGTGACTGACTTCCTCCCTCTCAGCTCCCCAGGCGTTCTGAAGGAAATAAGTACCCTGGGTCCAAACCACTTCCTCCCATCTGAGAACCACCAAGGGAGGGGGCTTATTTCATTATGGTAACTGAGCTACAGACAGAAACCCTGGGGCCTCGAAGGTTCAGCGGCTCACTTCTGTTGTCAAACGGCCTTGCAAAGTCATACTTTCCTCCATGGCACCGTCCAGACAGCAGGGACCATGGCTGGAGGCCTTGGGGTGTGGCAGGCGGGGCCGGTGCAAGAGCATCAGAAGAAAGTGGGAAAAGCACAGCCCGGCCACCCCCTGGGCTGTGCCAGGCACTTTACAGACAATACCTTCAGGAACTTAACCAAATGAAGTGAACGCTTAACTATGTGCCAGGCACCTGCTTGGTAACTTTTTTTTTTTCATTGAGCAATATACTAGACAGGCACCGTGTTCTCAGGAAGTTTACAGCTGGGGTGGGGTGGGTAAGACACACATAAAGAAACAAATGGGTTATGGTGTGTGTTGTGAAGGAAAGAGGCAGGGCCCAGGACACAGAGCAGGGGGACCCGTTTGCTAGTGAAGCTCGTTCAGTGTAATTCTCACATTACCCTGGGCAGTAGCCATGCCCTTTCCCCATCTGCAGACTGGCCAGCTAACGGCCCCCCACCCCCAGCCAAGGCCTCCAAGTCACAGGGACAATCGCTTATTTCTTACACCCTCTGAATGCAAACTCCCAGCGCTGGGAGTGTCAGACTCACTTCTTGATCTAGGCTCTATCAATACACCTCTGGGTCCATCTGTGGAATACCTATGATGTACATGACCCTCTAGCATGCCATAATCTTCCATTAAAAAGGATGGGTTCAGCTTTATACAAGCCTCCATCCATTCCCTGATGCCTAGGAGTACAAGTTAAGACTCTCTCTCTGGAACCAGATGACTGGATTCAAGTCCTGCCTCCACCTCTTACCAACTGGGGGACCTCCAACAGGTTCTAGAAATGCCCTGGCTTTGGTTTCCCCAGTTATACAAAAGACATAATGATAGTGATCTGTCCTATGTAGAACCGTTGTGGGGGTCAAAAGGAGAGTACATCTAATACACTTCTTCAACGCATATTAAGCGCCTGTTTTTCTCCTGTTGCTGTATACTCAGCCTCATTGGGAGCTGGCATGGATCTGTGATGAATACAGGATCCCTCCATCTGGTCTACCTACTATTTACAGGGGAGCAAACTGAGACCCAAAGAAGGAAAGTGGCTTGCCCCAAGTCTCTGAGAGGTTAGCGGGCCCACTGTGGGTTCTAAAGATATAGTGTATGAGAAGTAAAAATTAAGAAAAATTATGGGGAGAAATGGGTTAATTCTCCTTCTTCCCAGGGCTGGAGTCACCCATTCAAATGATTTTATGACCCGAAGTTGACAGCTTACCCTCAGTGCCTCCAGGCTCAGAGCAAGAGGGGCAGGGCTGTGAGGGAAGAGCCAGGCAGCTGGCTCTTTAGCCGGCCACTATCCATGAGCAGTAGTGGCTTCACGGTGATCAGAAGCAAGGGGACTGAGGGCCTAGGCAGGGAATATGCAGATTCCCAGGCCCATGTGCCTTCTCTGGCTTCCCCAGGAATGCTAGCTTTCAGAGCCTTTGTTAAAAGATTTAAAACGTTACTGTGCTGGGATGAGGGTAGTGGAAGGAATCAGGGTCGGTAGTAAAAAGAATCAAGGTTTGAAAGCTGGCCCTACCAGCGAATGAACTGTGTGACCCTGAGCAAGTTACTCGACCTCTCTGAGACTCCGTTTCCTCGTCTACAAAATGGCAGGCTCTTTGGGGGATCAGATGAGCCAGTGTAGTTCAAATACTTAATTTAGACCTTCCACATGGTGGATGCTCATCGAGATTAGGGTCTCTTCTCCCTTGAAAACCATGGGGATGCCTTCAGGCATCTGTTCCAAATAAGGATAACTGTCAGAAGAAAGTCTTCTCTTGCACTGGTGCCTGGAACCATGCATACTGGCTTGTGAGGGCCCATTGTACACATCTCTTCCTAACTCCACATTTGGTGATGTCACATTGCAAGCTTGAAATCAGCCACGGTGGGAATATTTACACCACAGAAGTGAGCAAACACTACAACACTACCCCATCACTGTTACAATTTACCAGGACGCCACCAATCTACTCTCTCTCTCCCGGGCACGTTGTTTTTCCATTTACCACCTATCCCATTTCGTTTCCCTCGTGGGATAACTTCTGTGTTCCGGCCATGAGCAAAAGCAGATCTGACCACTGTCTTTACTGACAGCCATTCCTTGAAAAATCACACAGATAACTGTTACAGTTATAATTCACTTAAAGGGCAATGCAGGGTTCCTGAGGAGGAGGTTTCACCCCTGGCAGCATATGCAAACATCCTGGGGTCTTTGTAGAAAGACCAGTGCCCAAGCCCCTAGCAGAACCATCTGAGCACCCCGGTATAGGACCCCCATGTCTGTGTTGTGATGAGTGATCCACAGTGAGGGGCGAGGGCGCTAGAGCAGATGGCTCAGCATATGCAAAGGATGTTATTAGCAAGCTATCGAGTTCCATCTCGCTCGATAAGGTTATGAGCCACGTGGTTGATTCATGTCTGTGAATAAAAAGCAAAACTAAGTCTTGCTGCGAAATGTGATATAGGAAACAAGTCACTAACTTTACGTCCCTGGGCCCACGCATCCAGGCGAATTTTCACGTCTGCACACAAATCTGCCTCAACCTCCTCCTTCTAGTGAAAACT